GAAGGAGGAGCCAGGACCAAAGGCTTTATTCCTTTGTCCTTAATGCATCTGGGCAGAACCAATGGGCCACCTCATAAATGGCAAACTGCTTGTTGGGAATGTGAGTAGTGCTGGAGAAAGCGCTCTCATTTGCTTTACAAATCTCCTCACCTACTAGAGAGCAAACAACTCACTACATGAGACCTCTGACATAGAACAACCTAATAAATTTTTGGTCTACTGGTAACATAGGTAAATTTTAAGATGCTGATTTTTCAATAACAGGGTACATTTCTTAGTTTTTAACATAAAGTTCATAATTAGAGTACCTCAATTAGAGTGGTAACAGGCTGGTAACAGACAAGATGAGGGGAAAAGACCTGTAAATGTGTTCTCTGTTACTTGCACTTGGACTATGACACAGCGCAATGACATCCTTCACCTGCCATACCTCCCCTCCCTTTCCTACATATGTATCCATCTACATTCTTTAAGAGTACAACAGCATTCTAAGTAACTCAATCTTGGTGCTGGTTGAAAAGAAGATAGCTCTTAAATTTAGAATAAAATTAACATAATGTTCCCCAGAAAAAACAACAAACAAACAAACAGTGATAGGGTTTAAACATGAACAATACAATCTGACAGTTTATTTCTGTGAGATAATCCTTGTGATTCAGTGTCATCCCTCTTCTTCCAGGAAAGAGCAAGACTCTTTCACATTGTGAAGCACTTTTTGTTTTCTTATCTAGAACTTAGAAAACTTAAGACAACATACTTCCCCGGTTCAGCCCTAAGATGACTTGGAAAACAAATGCCCTAATTACATTACATTCCTTTACCTCTCTATAAAAAGTCAGAAAAGAGTAATTAATCAATGAAGGTCAAAATCTGCCTTTTACTTCCTACTTGGGCTGCATGTTAAGCTCTAGTTGCCATTATCTCCCCAGGCAGAAAACTGGATCTTAAGATGTCTTCCAGGCTGGGCTACCCTTTACAGGCCCCTGGTGGCATATCTGACCAAAACCACTGGTCGCTACAGAACTGGTCTTTTCCAGACAAGGTCTATTTCTTGTGTCTCCTCCACACGAGCTAAGGATAGCCACAGCCCAGATTTGTCTTCAGCAGCTCCTACGTATCTCTCTCTCCTTTCTGAATTCTAACCAAGACAGGAAATTGGAGGGAAGGAACAAATATCCCAGTCCTCATTGCTCTTCCTCTTCCACTAAAAGCTAATAGAGGTAGCATGAGAAAAGGTATCCGGAATCTCATGACAAATCATATCAACAGGGCCCCTCCTTTCATTGCTTTATGTGTAGAAAACCCAGATAAATTCTATGGGAGCTAGAGATGGAAGTCGCTGCAGCTCCGTGATTCAGTAGTTAATACATCAATGTTAGGGGAAGAAAAAGGTCTTGAGTCAAAGGAAACCTTATTTCATCAGGCTTTACTGTCCCTCAAACATAGAATCCCCATCAGAATCGGTGGATTTACAAGCAGAGAACGGAAATGGATTTGGCCAGGGTGATCAAAGTCTTAGATAGGCGCAAAGGGTTTGTTAGCTAATTAACACAACAACAGAGCTGCTAATTTAACATTTTTTTCCACCAGAAACCCTTCATTATTGAAAAAGCTTCACTTTACCAGTTTCATTGTCACTGGTTAACTTGTCCTCTCTCTCTTCCCTCTCTAAAGTGCTGCTTGCTGAGGATATGCTGGATGCAGAGCAGTTGTCTTTTTCATTCACTTCCTCATTCTGCCTCTCTTTTTCACTGAGTAGTGCACTTTCTTCTGGCTCTCTCTCTGGTCCTTGCTCCACCTCACTCTCTGGTCCCACCTCTGTAGCCTCTATTTCCTTGGGTGTCTCCGTTCCCTGCTCGGCCTCAGCCTCCTGCTCTGGGTCTGGTTCTGTCTCTGTCTCTGGTTCGGGTTCACTGGCACTCACTGGTGGAGAGAACAATGGGAGAAAGAGATTCACTTAACGATGGAGTCATCTCAGGCTCACCCCTCTAAGCGAGAGCGATGTGAAAGTTGTACCAATGCCTTATGGAAAGAAAATAAAAAGCAAGTCCACGGCATGCTGAACGCTAGGAGCAACCGACTGATGAATGTTGTGCGACGACCACATTGCACGTGAGAGTGGCCTGGCAAACCCCCTTGCTTGCTGTCTGGAGCCAGCCCACTGTTTTTATACATACTTCCACAGCTGGAGTGTTGGACTCGTGGAAGGATTTGAACGAATCCGCAGAAAATGGGCATCCCACCTGAGCATGACATTGGCAACTCAGTGCCTAGACAGAGCCAGGATGAAAGAGATCTTTTAAAAAAACAAAAAGGAGGGAGATTGTGGCTTCTGGTTGAATTTTCTTTGGGTTCTGGAAGAATTCTTTTTTCACCTGATGAGGAACACTTCAACAAAAAAATACAAATTAGTTTTATCAACACAGTTGAATGGCACAGTCTGGAAATGGCACTATCACACGTTTGGCTGACAAAAACCATATGCTTTTTCATGCACATTTGCTTCAGAATAGCCACATCAAAACTGAACAGAGCTTCCAACTGCTTGCCATATGGCACAAATTTAGTTTCCAATTGGTTGGCATATGGCACATGATGAACTTTTTTATCAGTTGGCACACAGCAAACAGTGTTGGTAGTACACTTGGTTTCTTCTTCACTGCTTTATCATTGACAGTGAAATTCATTCATTCACCTTTACATCTTTTAGCTAAAGCAGCAGATTTCCACATGCAAATATTCTCTGCGTGCTGCAAAGAAACTGAAGAGCATCCACACATATTCACATCAAGCAGCTCACGGTTTTCTGAAAACTGAAATGGCCATGCAAGAGTGATGAAAATAGGCATGCATGTTAGTTCTGCATACTCCCCAAATTCTCTCTGTACTAAATCTTGTGTTGCGTGGTTGAACTACAATGACCAAGTCATACTTGTTTTTTCCCCTCTGCTTACTACTTTTCATTACAATATTGCACAAGAGCCTTCTGGACTTGTCACGGTCCTTGGATCGCATGATAGACAATGAGACTTTCTTCAAGAACTACATGAATCTTTGAAGGAAAAAAAAAAGCATTGAACTGGAATGCAATCCAAACACTTCAGTCCTCTAGGGAGCAGGTAAATAGATTTATCCTGAGAAAGTATAAACCAAAATAATGAAGGTCACAATGTTTTCCTAAGACTTTTTCATGTTGTGTGCCTATTCTACTTTCTGAGACACCCACACAAAGAATAATGATTTCTAACAATGCCTGTGCCTATCTTCACAATAACATGCATGGTTTTAAACTAGCTTTCAGTAATGCATCTTCAGTGCCATGCTATTCCACTTCATCTCATATAATTTAAGCGCATAAAGCTGCAAATGATTTTTTGCCACTGATTTCATTGCAGCTAAGCTTCCGCACTTTCACAATTGATTTTAAATGTGTGGTTAGTTAAATAACCAGGCATGCATACCTAATACATCTATATAAAAGAAACGTACACATAATATGTTTAATATATAGCCCACGCTTACTCAAATCCCTCTAAGATGTTTTAAAACACTCCTAATCAGAAGCTTATCTTTCTCCCTCTCCTACACAGACAGCATCTAAAAGTCTAATATTAGATATGTGAGCAGCTCTGCATATGCCTTGTCTCTCCAAATGTACCTTACCTATGACTGCACCCTGGACCCCGTCTACGAGAGAATCCAAATTACAGAGAGCTGGCAAGAAGTTGGCAGACACTCTGAATCGCAGTGGTGTGTTTCTGACCACAGCCATCAGTGTGCAGGTACATCACAAGAGCATTTTAAAGTCAAGTCAACATTTGAATATAACTGAGAGGCAAGCTTAGGAATCCTTCAGGAGTTTCTAGAACTAACATGGTACTGTAGCATGAAAGACTCTAAGCTCACCATGCTGCAATGGTCCATATATACAAATGTCATAAATTCTTCATAGTTTCATATGAATTTTAGATGTTTTAATCTAAAACAAAAGCTTTAATGCAATAACCAAAAAGGTCAACTCCAACAGCTCAGGTGGAGAAAGTGGCTGACTAAAACATGGTCAGGACTGCTAATGCTTATGGTAGCTTTGTCATCACGAAGCTACAATGAAGACAGATAAAGTCAGGGGAGACTCTTTAAACAAGAAATATTCCACACATAGCAGAAAGATGCAGTATCTTAGTAGACTCTAATTACTTTTTTTTAAAAAATACCCTCAATTCTTACACATATACAGTTCTTTAAACCTAAACTGTGATTGCCAGATTCAGTAGTAGAGGTAATATCTTTTCACTTGTATATGTCATTTTTCATACTTCTCTCAAGGCTTAGCTTCCCCATCCCCTCCCCTGCATTAAAACAAAGGAGGGAGTTGCAGTCTTTAAATGAGCTTTTACTTGCAATTGGATTAATCAGGAGGAGGAAAACTGAATGTGGCTTTAAAGACTAACTTTTGAGTCATATCTCCACTTCTCTTTCTGACAGAACTTAATCTCTAAAAATGTATTATTGGAAAAATACCACGAAGACTTCTCGGAAAAATGAAATCTCCCAAAGAAGTTGTGTAACCTCATCACTAAAAAAGATCGTAGTGGGGTCCTTCAATGAATACGTAAAGATTTTGTCATTTTGAGAGATGTTGTAATCTGCATCTTCTGACATTTTCAAGACTTGGCCACATAAAGCCCTAGCAACCTGATCTGCTATGATTTGATCAGATGTTGGCGATAGCCTTCTTTTCAGTGAGAGGTTAGAGAGGACAGCAAGCTGCTCCCTTCTGAAAAACATGGCTACAAACTTCTAAGCTATGCAGGGACATAGAAGGAAACAACTTTTCTTTTGATACTCAACTATAAATGAACTCTGAAGCAGACACAAAGTGTCATATCCTTAGTACCTGCTGATAAGACCTCCAGCCCCAAGTCCTATAAGCCCTCAGAGAGAACAAACATCCCTCTAGGACCACATCTAATTCCCTGCCAGGGTAATAGATTAGGCGCTGCATCTTCATCTATCTTCTCTGCTTCCTACTTGGAGATACATAGGCTAAGTGTTTCTTGAGGATGCATACGGTAAATCTGAAGAAGGCTATACCTACCCAAGCCATCTTGGTTCAATTGTCTGGATATCGCTTAAAGTCTTTGTTATCTCCC